ACACCCTGAACCTTAAAAGCCCCAAAAGGCCTGAAGGTCCTACCTAAACCTCTATCTGCAAGCGCCACGGGCCCCGGCCGCATCCCGGAAGTTGAGGAGCTGCGCAGCAGGCTCTAGGCCTCCGGGCTTCTGCAAAGAACCTACCTTTTCTTGGCTGACTTCTGAACCCCTCCTAAAAGCTAAACGCTTGGCCTCCTTATTATAGTTCATGTAGAAACCCAAAAAGTTAAAGTCCCAAGAGCCAACCAGAAGAACGCCAAGTTTTTTATGTTTGGTTAGGCAGTTTTAAGGTTGAGGGTCTAGGCTTTAGGGTTTAGGGGCAAAGCACCTACTACCTTTTCAAGGGTTCCCTATGATGATTTCCGTGAAGAAGTCCTTAAAACAAGACTACAAGGGCTCTCCTTAAAGGGATGTAGAAGGTTCCTTTACTATATTACGGCTGATGATATAAATACTGCGTTACACATAACAAGGAATGGCAACATACCACAATTCCCACAGTTTGGGTCCTTAAGGTAATGCAGGTGTTATATCATCAACAGTAGGGATTGAAACAATAACTTACCAAAAAGAAGCAGGCGTAGCAGGCAGATAGGTGCTGAGATTCGAGGACGAGCGGCTTATGGGTTCAAAGGCACTCAGCACGCTCAATTTCTGAACCTTCACCCTCTAAACCCCTAAACCCTAAACTGAGGGTTTAGGGGTTTGGGGTTTAGGGTTTAGGGGTTTAGGGTCTTGGGGGTTTAGGGTTTAGGGTAAACAGCACAGGTTGGAAAAGATGCCCATGTCTGTGTGATGTGGTCCAACACACGTAGTTTGATGCATCGTCTTCTGCAGTCCATATGCAGCGAGTTCCACATCCGTAGATGTAAAGAAACTATGAACTCTGCACCCTGAACCCTTACAGCACCCCATGAAGAACCCATACCGTGCACCCCAATCTAAGCCCGAACCTTTAACTCGAAAACCCTAAGCCCTACTAAAACTCCGCAACTACCTTTAGTAGAGCCTAATATAGGGTCCTAAATAGATAACCCTTAATCCCCGTCCAAGGCCGCGACTCAGCAGATCCCTGTTTGAGCTCGAGGACACGGCCGAGAGGCCCTTCCTTGTGAGTGTGATACCCCAGGTTTAGGGCTCCTTTAAAAGGGTTAGGGTTTAGGGTTTAGGGTTTAGGGTTTAGGGTTTAGGGTTTAGGGTTTAGGGTTTAGGGTTGAGGGTTTAGGGTTTAGGTTTAGGGCTCCTTTAAAAGGGTTCCCTTAAGGGGATCTACAGGGGCTCCCTTAAAGGGATCCATAAGGGCTCTTTGAGGGTAAAAAGGGTTCCGTCAAGGGTTGCTATTGAATTTCAGGGTTCGTTTTAGATACCGCCGGATTGCACAACGTCCACTGCTCCGTCTGGCCGCTTCGGTTCCAACCCACGCCGGAGTTGAAGTCGTAGGACGCGCCGGTTATATCGATGGCGAGAATCTCCTGATCGATCTCGATCACCCTGCCTGCGCCCGGTGGCCGACGGTTTTCCTGTCGAAAACGTGCCCAGTCCGAGTTGGTCCAGGTGTCTCGATCATCGGTGTGAAAGTAGACAGGCGGGCGCGTCACCTCTGTGATTTCCGTCTGGAGGATACCGTGCACCAACGCCGCGGCCAGCATTGCATCTGCCGCTGTGCAAAAGAACACCTGCAGGTTCTCGTAATTCGGCACAAGCTTCTTGTCCAGCAGGTTTCTGTGAAGGACCTGCTTCACTCGATTTTCTGCCGCATCCGGCAACGAGAAGAAGCTTGCTTTGATGCGGAGCTTGTCAACTTCATGTGGATCTTAAAGGGCTGTTGTGAGGCTCAGCCATCCGACTGGCCGGGATCAGGGGCTAAGCTTGTGCTTTCAATTGTAGGGTGATGCAGGGTGCGGGTTTAGGTAAAACTGCCACTTAGGTACTTGTCGCTACATGCTTTCAAGCCAGACAGCCTCAAAACCCCAGGATAAGGGGTGGTCTCTGGTTCTTGTCATGAATCTGAAGAAGTCCAGCAGGTGTATACCTTCACCCATGCGATTTCCTTACTTTGTGACATAAACAGGGGAGCCGAGAAAGAAAAAGAACTATAGTGGAAAACGGGTTTACCTAAACAAGCAACTACAATGGAGACTGCACACAGATTGCCAACACGGCTGCAGGTGAAAAGCTTACATGGATGAGGCTTGTTTGGGCAATTTAGAGAGTTTTCAGAACGGGTTACAGCTGGTTTAGGGGCCTGTGCGCAATGGGGGGGTTCTACAAATCATGAAAATCATGAAATTGTCAAATAATGCCATCGTCATACTGAGCATAAACAACGGGAACCTCCCTAAACCCTAAACCCTAAACCCTAAACCCTAAACCCTTTGTAGTGCTTAGCGACACGGGCTCCTGTCTTGGGGCTAGCGCCACACCCCACCCTACCCATGTAGGGTTTAGGGTTTAGGGTCTAGGGTTTAGGGTTTAGGGTTTAGGGTTTAGGGTTTAGGGTCCATGTAGGGTTCAGCGAAACCCTGAACTCTAAACCCCATTAGGCAGATGCCATATATCCCTGTGTTACCAAACGAAGATCCCTGATGTAACGGCTGTATCAATTCGAACACGGCTTTGGGAACATTACTAGACTATAGTAACTATAGTATCCCAGAACCAACGGAAAAAGCAAAACCCTTAACCCGTCATTTACTGCTAAAGCCCAAGACTACCAGTGTGCTACTCTTACAGAAACTCTTGCAGAACCCACCCTATAGGATCCCCTCAACGAACAGCGCGTCCAAACCTTGAACTCCACACCCGAGGACCTAAAATTCCAGGGAAGGGCCCCTACGCCCTAAACCCTCGAAGCGGGCTTGAAATCCCCTTCAGACCCTAAACCCTGAACCCAAACCCCTAAACCCTAAACCCTAAACCCCAAGATCAAGACCTAGGACTCCGCCGGTTCTGAGGGAGCCACAGGTCCATCTCCAGGTCATACAAGCAGTTTTCCCACGTCCTGGGGTTCGGGGGTTTAGGGTTTAAGGGTTTCGGGCTTAAGGCTTTAAGGGTTAAGGGTTTGGGGTTTAGGGTTTAAGGGTTTAGGGATTTAGGGGCTAGGGATTAGGGATCCTTTAAGGGTTTATGGGGTCCCTTTCAGAGATCTGTTCGGGATCTATTAGGGTTCTACTGAGTTGTTCAGGAAAAGCTACTATTTAATACAGGTTTGGGATTTAGGATTGTAATACATCCGGAAATCATAACACCATTATACTATAATCATCATAAGGAACCCCCAACATAGTATTGGTAATTATTCAGGCCCCTATATGATGAGCGTTCCTTGACAAGAGCCCAGTTGTTCGGGGGCTGGGAGCTGAGGGTCAACAGCGGGGGAGAAACTTCTTTGGGGGCGCAGTTCGAACTCCCTTCATAAACCCCTAAACCCTAAACCCTAAAACCCTAAAGCCTAAAGCCTCTGAAGGCTAGGGTTTAGCGGCGAGGGATGCCGATGCTCGATGCCGCCCGAGCCCTGCCCGGATTGAAACATGAACCTCCCAACTCGCTCTCAACTCGAAACCCTAAACCTTAAACCCACGGTTTAGGGTTTAGGGTTTAGGGCTTCCTAAACCCTAAACCCTAAACCCTTGAAGCCCTAAACACTCACGACGTTTAAAACTGAAGCCTGACTCCCCCAACCTCAAACCTGCTCCCTCAGGAGCCTCAGAACCCCCAAACTCCAACAATCGACCCGAACCCCAAGTCCCACCACTCTGCGCCCCCTTGACGGTGCCCTTGAAGGAAACCCTTACCTGAAGAATCCTCAAAAAGTAAGCTCGTAAAGCACTTTTGAAAAAAGACACCGGTACCCTTAAAGAACCATTTCGAATCCTAAACTCTACTCCCAAATAAAGCCCCCTATAGAGCCCCTGAAGGAACCCTTAGACATTGCTCCTGCTCCGCTGGAAATCCTGCGGCAGGTCGACGTAGTCGTGCAGCCAAGTGAAGAGCGTGCGGACGTCCGCCTCTCTTGGAAGGATCGGGGTTCAGGGCTTGGGGTTCAGGGCTTAGGGTTCAGGGCTTGGGGTTCAGGGCTTGGGGTTCAGGGCTTAGGGTTTTGGGATTAGGGTTCAGGGCTTCGGGTTCAGGGCTTAGGGTTTTGGGTTTAGGGTTTCCCTGTTAATCAAGGAGCATGCCTGAAATCATATTCGGGAGCCGATCATTCTGTGAGCATGTTCCTGGCATATACCCGAATCAAACAATATACCTTAGACCATATTCGCATCCTACCATGATGTCCCTAAGCCCTAAACCCCTAGACCCTAAACCTTAAACCCCTAGACCCTAAACCCTCAACCCTAAACCCCTAGACCCTAAACCCTGAACCCCTAAATCCTAAACCCTAAACCCGAAACCCTCAACGGGAATCTTGGGGGAGACCTGGGTCTTTGGCACCGAGCCGAGGTTGAGTTGGCTCTTCACTTTTCCTTAGGTCCTTAAGGGGCTCCTTCCATGAGTTCCTTAAACCCTGAACCCTAGACCCTCAACCCTAAACCCTAGACCCTACACCCTAAACCCTGAACCCTAGACCCTAAACCCTAAACCCTAAACCCTGAACCCTAAACCCTAAACCCCCGAACCCCTAAACCCTAAATGAGTTCCTTAAAGCCCTGAACCCTAAACCCTTATTTAGATCATCAACCGCATTCGGTGCGGCCTTTCCTTTCACGTCGACCTGTAGGGTTTAGGGTTTAGGGTTTCGGGTTTAAGGCTCTAGGTTCTAGGGTTTAGGGTTTAGGGTTTAGGGCTCTAGGTTCTAGGGTTTAGGGTTTAGGGTTTAGGGTTCAGGGCTCTAAGGTTCATGGTTTAGGGTTTAGGGCTTCAAGAATCTTTGGCCCTAAAGTTCTAAGCCCTAAAGCCCAAAGCCCTCGAACCTAACAGAAACCCTAAACCCTAAACCCTAAACCCTAGAGCCCTGAACCTGGACCACTTTCCAGAGGTTACAGGTCGACGTTAAAGGCAAGGCCGCACCGAATGCGGTTGATGA